CTTACCGTCGGCTCCTCCCATAGATCCTTCATGCGGTCATACACCATCCCGGGCCCTGGCAGACCCTCGCTCCAGATGAATCCATGTGCCTCTGGGCGTGCCACCAACGTAGGCCACGCTTCTCGAGGTAGCCCTGGCTCGTTACACTGGAACTGACTGGGGTGGTCCGGCTTGAGCACGGGGGCTGCCAGGCGGTGAGGTTCCAGGATGTCTTCCAGCGGGCGCGGCGCTGGCCTCTCAATTTGTATGAGCTCCCACCTCAGCTTTCCTTCCGACACCCCGTTTTGCCAATAGCGTCTCACTCGGTGTGAGTAAGATTTTTGCTGGACCGCGTCCCATGCCACCCCTGGCCCCAGTGCAGCTGCCACCACATCCTGCATGCGTCGCACTGGCTCCCTGCAGTCCGTGGAGAAGTCGGGATTCTCTAGGATGTACAGGTACTCTCCGTGCTGCTGATAGACCAGCTTCATCACCCACAGCAGCTCCAAAAACAAGGTTGACCTGGGGTCATCCAGCCCCTTGCCCTTTCCGGCTCTCGAGACCCCTTGGCATTCCCACTCGGCCACCAGAAGGTCTACTGTCCCCCATCGCTTCACATCCTCCGGAGCCACCTCCCTGATGTCGTGTGTCATATCTTCCTCAGCTTCCGCCTCCACTCCTGCCATCATTTGCGTGGGGTAGATTCCTCTCAGCCTCTTCGCGTGGTGCATGGCCATGCGCCTCACCACTGGGTCGAGTTCCACGAGCACCCATTTCTTCACTCTGCACCCTGCCTTGAGCGCCGCCGCCAGTCCGGTACCGACGCCTCGGAACAATTCCACAATGGTTAGGGGCTTCTGTAGCCTCTCCAGATCCGTCATCCGTGGAGGCAGAGCGAGGGGCCTCTCTGCATTCTCTGCCTCTGCCCTTCGAGTCTCCTGCTCCAGCACGTATTGCCTCCAGGACCAGTCCTCTAGTTGCTCGTCCATCTCTGCCATGCGGGCTTGGAAGGCTCCTCGGGGCTCTCTTTTCACGAAGTGCACCGGCAGAGTACCCACCGGACCGTCATCTCGCCAGTACTGCGCACGGTATAACACTTTCTCCTGCCAGGTGCAGATGGTGGCGCCGATACGGTACAGCAGCTCCATGCCGATGAGCAGATCGTAATCTTCTGAGGGCGAGATCCCGCAGCGCATCCGGATTCGGCATTCGTCTTTCGATCCTGGCCGAAGGATCACTTCCACCGGCATGCGCGTGCACGGCATCCATTTCGGCTCTCCGCCTTCTGCCGTCATTACCAGTATGCCTCTCGTTATGAGCCTGTTCGGATGATCCAGCTCGAGCCTTTTGGCCAGGTCTTTCCCAAGCAGGATATGGTTTGCTCCGGTGTCGATGATGGCTTGCGCCACAGCTAGCTCGCCCACCGTGATGCCTCCCTTCTCTATGGTCAGTACCGACGGCTGACAAACCATCCTTTCCTTTGGGTGTCGTTCAGACGTCATCTCCTGCTCTGGTTCTGCCGCGTAACCCCGGAACCTTCTTATGACTCGGTCTGGCCGATCTGCGCGTCCCTGCCCATCGCTGCGGAGCCGGATCTCCTCCCTCTGTCGCGGTGCTTGCACCATCAGCACGAACTCGGCTTCGCTCCCTTCTCCCTCTTCTTCCTTCGCGAGCATAGCCGGCTCTCTCCGTGCACCGCCCTCCAGCTCTCGAATCCTTACCTGTAGCTGCTGAAGCGGATTCTCCAGAACTTCCTTGCTCCTCGGTCCTGCCGAGCCGGGCCGGCGACTGTAGCAATCCTGTGTGCGATGCCCGCGTCTCCCGCGGTTCCCGCAGCTAGGGATTTCGGGGCAGTCTCGGCGGAGGTGTCCCTCCTCTTGGCAGTGATCGCACTTCGGTGGCCTGCTGGAGTCCCTCTGCAGATGCCCCTCCTGGCCACACCGGTGACACTTGCGCGTCTCGGTCTCGCGCCCCGTCCTCCTGCCGGGAATTTCCCCCGTTGAAACGGCCGACCACGCGGGCCTGCGCCGCTCCTCCGGTTGCATCCCTCCCCTCTCCATTTCGTACAGCCGCAGACCCATCTCTTGCTTCTTGGCCAGCTCGTACGCGTGTTCCAGTGTGGCCGCCGGTCCCATCTCGAAGACTCTCCCTCGTACTTCACTTGCCACCCTTTCGTCCAAGCTGTTTAGGAATTTCGTCACGAGCCTCCATTCGTCGCGACACTCCATGTCTGAGGCTAGCTCCCGCAGTCGGCCATAGGTTGCCAGCAAGGACTCTCCAGGCTTCTTCCGAAATTATGCGAACTCTTTCATCCGCTCAGGTGTCTGCACTGGGAAGTGTCGGCAAAGCGTCGCGAAGAACTGCGTCACCACTTCCCACGTGACCCCAGCTGCCGATTCGCTGAGCATGCGCTCCAATTCCATGCCGTACGCCGTCTCCGCTTCTCCCGTGACCGTGTTTGAAAGTCCTCAGAAAAAGTCTTCGGGCTCCAGCCCATCCTTCATCCAGCGGTATTGCGCGTTGCGGATCTGCATCATGCAGTTCTTAAGGCTGCTTCCCACGCCCGGAGTGCCTGCAAACCGTTCCGGCACCTCGATCTTTGGCAGCGCCGCATACCGCACAGGCGGGCGCATGACCTCGGTGTTGTGATGTTCTGACAGGGAGAATCTCCTGGTCTGTCGGAGCAGCTCGCCTTCCGCACTCGTGCCTTGTGCGGCATCTCCGCTCCGCGGCGGCTCAACGGTCTCACCCACTTCTGCGAGGGGTCTACCGGACGAGCTGTGAAAGGCGTCAAGCCCCCCGGTCGGCAGGTCACTCATGCTGTGCCTCCGATGCGGCGCCGTGTACGCTTCTCTCGTCGGCGCGCCTCCAGATCCTCCTGCTTGCGTGCCGACGGTCTCTCCCACCGCGTCTCCTGCTCGCCATCCTGGAGTCGCCATCACCGGCGGATCCGGAGGCAATTCGTATCATCTTCCAGAGCGTAGCTGCATTCACCGATGCGTCCTATCTTGTGGTGAGATTTCCTTCGTCGTATGTCAGAAAACCTCACTAACCCATCTAGGCCGACTAGCTGGCTCCTGGTATTCTTGATTCTACCCGTGTTGGTTTAAAAGGTTTACATTGAGAAAAAGCAGGAAACATACGACGAAGCACCTAGCACTAGGGCTCAGTAGCTCTATGTACAAGATGAGATTGACTGCCCTAGCCTAGTGCTTCAGCGGAAAGGACAGACAGAGATCATGCGTGAGCGAGGCTCGGGCTTCCCGAGTCGTATGTACAAGCCGCTGGCGGTTTGGGGCTGCATGTGGTTTGGCACCAGAAACTGTGCCAGCTGCCCGGTTGTCTCGCATGTGCACTTGCAGCCCTCGCCACCTGTCGGCCGTGCTGCTCGTATCCTCGTTAGCAGCGCTCGCCCTGCCACAGCACAGAACAGCATTCATACAAAGAAAACACGCAAAACCCCCCCCCAAAACCCTCTCCCGACATTCACTTGCTCAAGGCTCGTCCTCGCTATGGTACAAAATATGTACACCGCAGCCCGTTCGTCTGCTGCTCCTTGTTCCGCTTACACTTGCCCCAATGAAACTCATCTCACTGATTTGTCATGCACACGCCTTATGCCACAGCTGCTGTCTCGGCATAATGTTGCCCTCCATAGTCTACATAATACCACGACAGTGCATCTCCGTGCGTGCATCCCCGTGCGTGCATCCCCGTGGGTGCATCCCCGTGCGTGCATCACCGTGTGTGCATCACCGTTTGTCCATCACCGTGTGTGCATCCCCGTGTGTGCATCACCGTGTGTGCATCCCCGTGTGTGCATCCCCGTGTGTGCATCACCGTGTGTGCATCACCGTGTGTGCATCACCGTGTATGCATCACCGTGTGTGCATCACTGTTTGTGCATAACCGTGTGTGCATCACCGTGTGTGCATCACCATGTGTGCATCACCGTGTGTGCATCCCCGTGTGTGCATCCCCGTGTGTGCATCACCGTGTGTGCATCCCCGTGTGTGCATCACCGTGTGTGCATCCCAGTGTGTGCATCACCGTGTGTGCACCCCCGTGTGTGCACCCCCGTGTGTGCACCCCCGTGTGTGCACCCCCGTGTGTGCACGCCCCCGTGTGCGCATCCCCGTGTGCGCATCCCCGTGTGCGCATCCCCGTGTGCGCATCCCCGTGTGCGCATCCCCGTGTGCGCATCCCCGTGTGCGCATCCCCGTGTGTGCATCCCCGTGTGTGCATCCCCGTGTGTGCATCCCCGTGTGTGCATCCCCGTGTGTGCATCACCGTGTGTTCATCACCGTGTGTGCATCCGTGTGTGCATCAGTGTGTGCATCCGTGTGTGCATCCCCGTGTGTGCATCCCCGTGTGTGCATCACCGTGTGTGCATCACCGTGTGTGCATCAACGTGTGTGCATCACCGTGTGTGCATCACCGTGTGTGCATCACTGTGTGTGCATCACCGTGTGTGCATCACCGTGTGTGCATCACCGTGTGTGCATCACCGTGTGTGCATCATCGTGTGTGCATCACCGTGTGTGCATCACCGTGTGTGCATCCCCGTGTGTGCATCACCGTGTGTGCATCCCCGTGTGTGCATCCCCGTGTGTGCATCCCGGGTGTGCATCACCGTGTGTGCATCCCCGTGTGTGCATCACCGTGTGTGCATCCCCGTATGTGCATCCCCGTGTGTGCATCACCGTGTGTGCATCACAGTGTGTGCATCACCGTGTGTGCATCACCATGTGTGCATCCCCGTGTGTGCATCACCGTGTGTGCATCACCATGTGTGCATGCGTTTATATCAATGTGCATGTGCTTGCATATGTCATGTGCATTCATGTGTGAGAATGCCTGTGAATGCCCGTGTGTGTGACTTCCCCTATGTGTGAATGCCCGTTTGTGTGAATGCCCGTTCGTGTGAATGCCCGTTCGTATGATTGACGATGTGTGCCCCTGTAGCCCCCACACACACAGCTGCAAGTGCGCATGTACCAGCTCACCCACCTGCAGTGCGCATGTACCAGCTCACCCACCTGCAAGTGCGCATGTACCAGCTCACCCACCTGCAAGTGCGCATGTATCAGCTCACCCACCTGCAAGTGCGCATGTACCAGCTCACCCACCTGCAAGTGCGCATGTACCAGCTCACCCAGCTGCAAGTGCGCATGTACCAGCTCACCCAGCTGCAAGTGCGCATGTACCAGCTCACCCAGCTGCAATTGCGCATGTACCAGCTCACCCAGCTGCAAGTGCGCATGTACCAGCTCACCCAGCTGCAAGTGCGCATGTACCAGCTCACCCAGCTGCAAGTGCGCATGTACCAGCTCACCCAGCTGCAAGTGCGCATGTACCAGCTCACCCACCACTCATCCACACTCTGCCACGCGTGCGTGCCTTCTTCGAACACCTCGACATCAAACCCGTATGACACACCCAATGCCACGCTATGCCATGCCACGCTATGCCATGCCACGCTATGCCATGCCACGCTATGCCATACCACGCTATGCCATGCCACGCTATGCCATGCCACGCTATGCCATGCCATGTTATGCCATGCCACTCTATGTCATGCCACGTTATGCCATGTGCCACACTATGCCATGCCACGCTATGCCATGCCATGTTATGCCATGCCACTCTATGTCATGCCACGTTATGCCATGTGCCACACTATGCCATGCCACGCTATGCCATGCCACGCTATGCCATGCCACTCTATGCCATGCCCTGCTATGCCATGCCACGCTATGCCATGCCATGCTATGCCATGCCACTCTATGCCATGCCACGCTATGCCATGCCATGCTATGCCATGCCACTCTATGCCATGCCACGCTATGCCATGCCACGCTATGCCATGCCACACTATGCCATGCCACGCCATTCTATGCCACGCTATGCCATGCCAGGCTATGCCATGCCGCGGCCCACACTATGCCATGCCACGCCATGCCATGTCATGCCATGCTATGCTAGCCGACGCCGGGCCATGCCATACCTGTTCTTCTGATGTGTCTCAGCTATTGTGTTCAATCACCATGCCTCACAACACCATGCTCTCTTCAGCTTTGACACGGCATCCCAACACTACAGCAACCACTATTCTTTTCATCGTTGTTCCCCTCTCCCCTCACCCCATGCACTCCACCCCCCGCCACGGCCCACCCCAACATCACCTTACCACCTCCAATCCACCCCTTCCCCTCCGCTCACTTGCTTGCCATTCTCTGCCACCTCTGTGGGCTCCAGAAACTTGCATCCCTTTTCCCCATCCAACCCGCTTCCTCCACTCTCTTGGTGTCTCTCACTCCGTCAGTGCCAATCTCGTGTCCCTGTGCTTGCCTCTATCCTCGTGTCCCTGTGCTTGCCTCTATCCTCGTGTCCCTGTGCTTGCCTCTATCCTCGTGTCCCTGTGCTTGCCTCTATCCTCGTGTCCCTGTGCTTGCCTCTATCCTCGTGTCCCTGTGCTTGCCTCTATCCTCGTGTCCCTGTGCTTGCCTCTATCCTCGTGTCCCTGTGCTTGCCTCTATCCTCGTGTCCCTGTGCTTGCCTCTATCCTCGTGTCCCTGTGCTTGCCTCTATCCTCTTGCCTCCGTGTGCTTCCCTCACTTTCATCCACCCCCTTTCTTCCGCCCCCTTGGTGCCTCTCATCTCTCATTTCTCATCTCTCATTTCTCATCTCTCATCTCTCATTTCTCATCTCTCATCTCTCAAGTCTCATCTCTCGTCTCTCATCTCGCATCACGGCAGTGGAGCAGGCCACGCCAATTGTCTTCAAGCTCGCCATCGTTCTCCTGCAGGTATCTTCCCTCTTACCTCCTCGCACCTCGCACCTCATCCCACCTCCTACCATCTCTTGCCATGCATCTCTCACCCACTTCCCATCACCCACCTCTCCTCTCCTCCCACAAATCCCCTCATACTTCCCATTCTCCTCCCCCCCGTCCCTTTCCCCTGCTCTTCCTCCCAGTTCCCCCCCCCTGTCCCCTCCCCCCGACCCCTCCCCCGGTCCCCTCCCCCTTTCAACTTCCCACATCCCCTCCCACACCAGGTGGGCCGGCGGCAGCTGCAGCAGTGCCCGGAGATGGAGCACGCCATGTGCCTACTGCGCACAACTAAAAGTGCCTCACTTCACCACCTCATACCACACAGCCCCTCTCTGTACATCATGGTACCCCACATTCCCTCAAAGTGCCTCACGAGTTTTCAAGCGTGCGAGCTGGTTGGAGATTGTAGGTCTCTTTGGCTCGTCAGATATGGAATGCTTCAAATATGCAATATGATTTTACTTTTGTATTTGAAATCGCATCCACCCATTCCACGGTCACACATGTTCTCTCCTCGCACCTCACCTCACCTCACCTCTCTCTCACGCTCTTCAGTGCCTAAGAGCCTTCCTTCAGCTCTGCCTGCACTCCTGTCTCCTGTTTGTATGTGTCCATGCATTTCTGTGTGTGTCCATGTGCATGTTTGTGTATGTATCTGTGGTTGTGTTTTTGTTTGTGTGTGCGCGCGTGTGTGCGTGCGTATGTGTGAGTGCGTGCATGTGTCTCCTCTGACGTGCATGTGTGCATGCATGGTACCAGGCGGTGAGCGAGGAGGAGATGGAGGAGCTGGTGTGCAAGGCCGTGCGGGTGGAGCTGGTGTGCAAGGCCGTGCGGGTGGAGCTGGTGTGCAAGGCCGTGCGGGTGGAGCTGGTGTGCAAGGCCGTGCGGGTGGAGCTGGTGTGCAAGGCCGTGCGGGTGGAGCTGGTGTGCAAGGCCGTGCGGGTGGAGCTGGTGTGCAAGGCCGTGCGGGTGGAGCTGGTGTGCAAGGCCGTGCGGGTGGAGCTGGTGTGCAAGGCCGTGCGGGTGGAGCTGGTGTGCAAGGCCGTGCGGGTGGAGCTGGTGTGCAAGGCCGTGCGGGTGGAGCTGGTGTGCAAGGCCGTGCGGGTGGAGCTGGTGTGCAAGGCCGTGCGGGTGGAGCTGGTGTGCAAGGCCGTGCGGGTGGAGCTGGTGTGCAAGGCCGTGCGGGTGGAGCTGGTGTGCAAGGCCGTGCGGGTGGAGCTGGTGTGCAAGGCCGTGCGGGTGGAGCTGGTGTGCAAGGCCGTGCGGGTGGAGCTGGTGTGCAAGGCCGTGCGGGTGGAGCTGGTGTGCAAGGCCGTGCGGGTGGAGCTGGTGTGCAAGGCCGTGCGGGTGGAGCTGGTGTGCAAGGCCGTGCGGGTGGATCTTGTGTGCAAGGCCATGCGGGTGAATCTGCCCTTTGAGAGCCTGCTGCGACCCACTCCCCACACCGTGCTGCGACCCACTCCCCACACCGTGCTGCCTCTGCACGTGCATCGAAACACATTCACTCCCTTCCTCTCCACCTGCACTCCCTATCTCGTTTCACACCTCAGCGTGCATTACCATCGCCTCCACTCTTCCCTCCCTCTTGAACTCTCCCTAAACTTCTACATGTTTGCACCATTTCTCATATGACTCATTCCCTCCCCCTCAGATCCTCTTCCTTTTTCTTTATCTCCCTTCCCCAAACGCTCTCTCACTTTCTCATGCTGTCTCCTACCTGCCTCTCCCCGCCCCTTCCCTCCTCACCTGGTCGCCCAGAGTACGATCTGCTGGCAAGGGGAGGCGGCAGCGGCAGCAAGGGACGTGCAGGCAGCAAGGGACGTGCAGGCAGCAAGGGACGTGCAGGCAGCAAGGGACGTGCAGGCAGCAAGGGACGTGCAGGCAGCAAGGGACGTGCAGGCAGCAAGGGACGTGCAGGCAGCAGCAGAGGCGAGTGAGGCGGCAGCGCTGTCGTGAGGAGCCAACCGGCAGCAGGTGGAGGCGCGGCTCTGCCATGCCACGCTCGTGCGTGCTGCCAGGAGAGACAAAGGGATGGGGGGACGAGGGTGGGGGAGGGGGAGTCGTGTTTAGAGTCGACTCAAAACACGGCTCTGCCATGCCACGCTCGTGCCTGCTACCATGATAGGGGGGGGGAGGGGGGGGGAAGAGGGGGATGGGGGGAGGGAGGAAGGGGGAGAGGGAGGGGCTGGATGAGGGAGTTTTATTGCAGTGTTGATGCCTGTCCAGCCATTTCTTTCCATGGACAATGCAAGGACTCGCATCCTCTCCTGCTGTACGCGCATGCTCTCATACACTACATTCACCCATGCATGCATACCCTTTCTTTCCCCTCGCTGCTCTCCTCCCCTCCCACCAAACCAAATCAATCACCACGGCAGGGCCATCAAGCAAGGCGAGCGCCAGGCAGCCCACATCACATCACAGCTGCCCTGACCGACTCCACCTCGTGCCACCGCTCGTCCTCCTCCCCTCCCGCGTGCCCACCACCACACGCTGTTACGAAGCCCCTCACTTGCTCACCCCGCTACCACCATCCATGCCTCTGTCTCGCATGCTGCGTTGCACATGGGTAATGGGGTAGGAGGAGCTGCAGAGAGGAGTGATGAAGGCAGGGTCACAGGGGACCGAAGTGAAGGATGGGTGGTGAGTGGCCGGGCTGGCGGGGACGGCTGTTTGCTGTTGAATGGTAGTGGGGCGTGGGGGCTTGAAAGCTCAAGAGTTGAGCACTTGGAGGGACGGCGGCCCTTGGAGGGCGGTGAGGGAGAGGAGAGAGCGTGTGAGGAGGAGGGAGTGTGTGAGGAGGAGGGAGTGTGTGAGGAGGAGGGAGTGTGTGAGGAGGAGGGAGTGTGTGAGGAGGACCTACCACTGGTGGACACAGTGCAGCGGTGGGAGGAGCGGGGTGGCAGTGGTGGGAAGGGGAGCGGGAGGAAGGGGGGGGCAGCACTGTGGAGGCGCTGAGAGCAGTGAGAGCAGCGCAGCAGGAGTGGGTGCAGGTGGGGCTGGCACTGGCACTGGCGGAGAGGCAGGTGGCCTGCCGCCTCGACATGGGATGGGAGCGTCTGCCAGCGACCCTTGAGGCGCGCTGGGAGCTGTCATGGGTGGCGGGGCGCATGAGGTGGTGGTTGTGGAGGAGGTGGGGGGCTGTGTGGGGGAGAAAGCAGCATATGGACGTGTGGCAGCATGCACCAGTATGATGCATGGAAGAGATCATGAGTCATGAGTTGAAATTGTCTCTCAACCATGCCTCGTGGTTGTGTCCTTGTTGAAATTGCATGACTTCACCAGGCTTGAGGCTTTGTTGTATTATTGCTGCACTGTTGTAATTCCATGTTTACAGCCACGGGTTAGGGAGGGGGGTTTGCCAATGTGCACTAATTTGGGGTATTATGGCCTGTAATTTCCACGCACATCTCGTTTTGACGAAATTGATCGGAAGTTGGTCTGGAAGTTAAAGCCCGAGTACCGCATGGTTTTTTCAAGTTCAAGATTCTTGCCCAAAAACAGGGTTACCTTACTTTGTTTGAGAGAACTCTCGCGAGTCTGGGCCAACGCCTTGCGACACTCCCTCCTGATTGGCTTTTGTGCTCAATCGCAGAACTGAACCCCTCGTTGCTCACTCTGCTACGATGTTCTCCTCTCACATACCTTGAACACCTAGTTGTACTCATAGTCTGCCTAGCTCATTGCCGTAAGTAGGAAGCGCAAGCCAGTGCGGCAAAAGCTAGAACCCATAACGGTTTTTTTTACGGCAACTCACGTCACCACACTGTCGCGCCAATAGCTAGGCAGCTCAATCCTAGTGTCACACACGATTTATATTTTTATATATATATATATATATATTTGGCGTTGCACGTTACTCACACGGAACTTTCGTTCTACCGTACCAACACACAAACGAGTGCCCCACGTTTCCCGCGCTTCGTCAAAGGTGCTCCCCCTCGCCACTCGCGCCTGCTTTCGTCAATCGCGCCTGCCCGGGTTAGCGTGCTTCCCCTCGTCACCCGCTCTCCTCCCCGGCATCTGTCCTCTCGACCCCTCGTCGCGCGCTTTCCCCCTGTCACGCGCGTTTCCCCTCGTCACGCGCTCTCCTCCCCTCGTCCCGTGCTCAACCATTCACTCACGCTCCAGGGTAGATCACCCGTTGAAACAGACGTCACGCGCAGCAACTCGTTGCCCCAGTTGCTCCTCTAAGCCCTCGCCTCCCGTTGTCGCCTCCGCCACCCCAATCGGACAGCGTTTTGAACCCCTCTCTGCTCCCCAACCATCCTCCCCCCAGCTCTCTCCATTCTAACCCCCATCCCCTTCCCTGCTTCCCCCCATCCCCTTCCCTGCTTCCACCCATCCCCTTCCCTGCTTCCCCCTATCCCCTTCCCTGCTTCCCCCCATCCCCTTCCCTGCTTCCACCCATCGCCTTCCCTGCTTCCCCCCATCCCCTTCCCTGCTTCTCCCCATCCCCTTCCCTGCTTCCCCCCATCCCCTTCCCTGCTTCCCCCCCATCCCCTTCCCTGCTTCCACCCATCCCCTTCCCTACTTCCCCCCATCCCCTTCCCTGCTTCCCCCCATCCCCTTCCCTGCTTCCCCCCATCCCCTTCCCTGCTTCCACCCATCGCCTTCCCTGCTTCCCCCCATCCCCTTCCCTGCTTCCCCCCATCCCCTTCCCTGCTTCCCCCCATCCCCTTCCCTGCTTCCCCCCATCCCTTCCCTGCATCCCCCCCCATCCCCTTCCCTGCTTCCCCCCATCCCCTTCCCTGCTTCCACCCATCTCCCCTTCCCTGCTTCCACCCATCGCCCTTCCCTGCTTCCCCCCTATTCCCCTTCCCTGCTTCCCCCCATCCCCTTCCCTGCTTCCCCCCATCCCCTTCCTGATCTTCCACCCATCGCCTTTCCTGCTTCCCCCCGTCCCCCTTCCCTGCTTCTCCACCCCCTTCCCTGCTTCCCCCCATCCCCTTCCCTGCTCCCCCATCCCTTTCCCTGCTTCCCCCCATCCCTTCCCTGCTTCCCCCCATCCCCTTCCCTGCTTCCCCCCATCCCCTTCCCTGCATTCCCCCCATCCCCCCCACCCCCCCCCATCCCCTTCCCTGCTCCCCCCCATCGCCTTCCATGCTCCCCCCATCCCTTTCCTGCATCCCCCCATCCCCTTCCCTGCTTCCCCCCATCCCCTTCCCTGCTTCCCCCCATCCCCTTCCCTGCTTCCCCATCCCCTTCCCTGCATCCCCCCCATCCCCTTCCCTGCTCCCCCCCATCGCTTCCTGCTTCCCCCATCCCCTTCCCTGCTTCCCCCCATCCCCTTCCCTGCTTCCCCCCATCCCCTTCCCTGCTTCCCCCCATCCCCTTCCCTACTTCCCCCATCCCCTTCCCTGCTTCCCCCCATCCCCTTCCCTGCTTCCCCCCATCCCTTCCCTGCTTCCAACCCATCGCCTTCCCTGCTTCCCCCCATCCCCTTCCCTGCTTCCCCCCATCCCCTTCCCTGCTTCCCCCATCCCCTTCCCTGCTTCCCCCATCCCCTTCCCTGCATCCCCCCATCCCCTTCCCTGCTTCCCCCCATCCCCTTCCTGCTTCCACCCATCCCCTTCCCTGCTTCCCCTCCCCCCATCCCCTTCCCTGCTTCCCCCCAATCCCCTTCCCTGCTTCCACCCATCGCCTTTCCTGCTTCCCCCCGTCCCCTTCCCTGCTTCTCCAATCCCTTCCCTGCTTCCCCCCATCCCCTTCCCTGCTTCCCCCATCCCCTTCCCTGCACCCCCCCATCCCCTTCCCTGCTTCCCCCCATCCCCTTCCCTGCTTCCCCCCATCCCCTTCCCTGCTTCCCCCCATCCCCTTCCCTGCATCCCCCCCATCCCCTTCCCTGCTCCCCCCCCATCGCCTTCCCTGCTTCCCCCCACCCCTTCCCTGCATCCCCCCCATCCCCTTCCCTGCTTCCCCCCATCCCCTTCCCTGCTTCCCCCCATCCCCTTCCCTGCTTCCCCCCATCCCCTTCCTGCATCCCCCCCATCCCTTCCTGCTCCCCCCCATCGCCTTCCTGCTCCCCCCCATCCCCTTCCCTGCTTCCCCCCATCCCTTCCCTGCTTCCACCCATCCCCTTCCCTGTTCCCCTCCCCCCATCCCCTCCCCTGCTTCCCCCCATCCCCTTCCCTGCTTCCCCCATCCCCTTCCCTGCTTCCCCCCATCGCCTTCCCTGCTTCCCCCCATCCCCTTCCCTGCATCCCCCCATCCCCTGCCCTGCTACCCCACCCTCTGCCCTGTTCCCACCTGCCCTCCCCATCCATGCCTTTCCTGTATTGCCTTTCCCTTCCCCATGTGGAAATAAGAAGTCGCTAGAGCGCAGCGGAAGCTTATGAATTAACGACGTCCCTACGGCGGGGCTATTGGTCACTCAGAGGTAGCTCTCCTGGCTTGCAACGTGGTGCCAAAGCAGCGGCCGAGGGTAGGCCGGACACAAGCTTGAGAATTGTGTAATATGAGCAAGGCATTACATTCTGTTATATAGCAAACGCATAGGGCAAACAGTTACCAAGGCGCAACTGTATAACAGTTGCGCTGCGTCGCTTGGGTTGCCTTGTTACAGTCGCGCTGGCGAGACTTTTCAGCTTCGGCAAGGGCGGCGGTATCCTGCCGCGCCCCGCAGGTCAGTTTCGCGTACTGTAGACGATGACTCCTGCTGTCGATTCGACTCTTGAGCTGCCACGCGGGTCGCAACCGCTGTGGTTCGGTTGAGGCCCGTTGACTCGCCACCAGGTTCAAATCCCTCGCTATGGCGAGCCCCTGTAAACACACTTCGAACAGTGCACTTATAATAAAAGCATACAAACATATTCTCAACACCCCATCCCTTCTCAACCCTTCCCTTCTCAACCCTTCCCTTCCTTTTCATGCCCTCCCTTCCCCCTCACTCCTCACCACACATGCTTTCATCATGTGCGCTTCCTTGTATCCCCTTGCCGTTGTTCCCTTGCACCTCACACCACCTAACCCATGTTCCTTCACACAATTCTTCTGCCTGCTCCTCTCCTAATTTTCAGTGAAGCAGAGGAGCAAGCTGAGGTGCAGCTAGTCGATGCTTTACACCGAACCACCACCGTTTTTTGCCTGTTTTATGCAAGAATGATATTGTATTACTTCTGGAGATATGCATCTCAAAGGAACACTAAGCAATTTTGTTTCTGCAGTGCAAGATATTCTTCCAAGATGCACGATCAGAAGGGTACATAGAGGCATAGATGCACGATCAGAAGGGTACATAGAGGCATAGATGCACGATCAGAAGGGTACATAGAGGCATAGATGCACGATCAGAAGGGTACATAGAGGCATGTTCCCCATACTTTCGATTGTACCTTTCTCAAGGCCTTGAAAGCAACATGAGGGGAACTGGTTTCTCTGCGAGCATGGCATGGGATGATGGACTGAGGCGAGTTGCAGTACCAGAAGAATCGTCAGTGTAGTAACTGCAATAGCCAGGGAGAGGGAGGGAATACGAGAGGGGAGGGGAACAAGAAAAAAGGCAAAACTGGGGAGATAGGGGAGATGGGAAGAGGGGTAGAGGGAAGCAGGGGTGAGATAAGAAAGAAGTACTGTAAGAAGAGGGAGGATAGGGAAGAGGGAGATAGGAAGAGGGGAGATAGGAGAGGGGGAGAGGGAAAGCTAGATATAGGAAGATAAACGAGGGGAAGAAGAGGGGGAAACGAGGGGAAACAGAGGGGGAAATCCTGGAAGCAGAGGGGGATTCGAGGAGAAGCAGGGAGGAAAATTAGGGAAGGCAGGGGTGGATATGAGTGGAAGAAGGGGGGAAATGAGGGGAAGCAGTACGAACAGGGAAAGCAGGGATAGAAATGAGGTGAAGCAGGGGAAATGGGTGGAAGCAAGGGGACAAATGAGGAGAAGCAGGTAGGGAAATGAGGGGCAGCAGCGGGGTAAATGAGGGAAGGAGAGGGGGGAATGAGAGAAGCAGGAGGGGAAAACGATGAGAGCAGATGGGGAAACGAAGCAGAGGGGTAAATGAGTGGAAGAAGGAAGCAAAGGGGGAAATGAGGAAATGAGGGAGAGAAATGAGGGGAAGCAGGGATGAGGGGAAGCAGGGATGAGGGGAAGCAGGGATGAAATGAGGAGAAGCAGGGATGAGGGGAAGCAGAGATGAAATGAGGGGAAGCAGGATGAGGGGAAGCAGGGATGAGGGGAAGCAGGGATGAGGGGAAGCAGGGATGAGGGGAAGCAGGGATGAAGGGAAGCAGAGATGAAATGAGGAGAAGCAGGATGAAATGAGGAGAAGCAGGATTAGGGGAAGCAAGGATGAAAATCAGGAGAAGCAGGGAGGGGAAGTGAGGGGAAGCAGCGGGGGATGAGGGGAAGCAGCGGGGGGAAATGAGTTGAAGGAGGGGAGAGAATGAGGGGAAGCACGGGGGGAAACGATGAGAGCAGAGGGGAAACGAGGGGAAGCAACGGGGTAAATGAGGGGAAGGAGGGGAAGCAGGGTGTTAAAATTAGGGAAATCAGGGTGGGGTGAATAGAAGGGCAGGGAGGCGCGGGCAAGGGATGGGCAGTGGAGAAGGGCAGCGGGAGTGGAGGCGCGAGGAGGGGCAGCGCGACGAGGGTGCTGGCGCGCTGATGGCAGGGGAGGCGCCGCGGAGCAGGTGAGAGAGCGGAGGCGCGGTGCAGCGAGCGGAGGCGCGGCGCGGCCTGCGGAGGCGCGGCGAGACGAGCAGAGGCGCGGCGAGGTGAGCGGAGGCGCGGCGCGGCCTGCGGAGGCGCGGCGCGGCCTGCGGAGGCGCGGCGAGACGAGCGGAGGCGCGACGTGGGGAGGCTCCCGGATACGAGGGGAGGCGTGAGGATGGGACAGGAGGCGGCGGCGAGGGGAGACGCGACGACGGGAGACGAGGCACGAGAGGCTGCGCGACGAAGGATGGGTTGGCGCGAAGGGGGGTGGGCGCGATGGGCGGGGGAACGCGACAATGGGAAGCGCGATGAGGGGAGAAGCTCGATGAGGAAGGGGATGCGCGACTTCTTTGAGCCACTAAGGGAGGTGCGTGAACAGGCGTGGTGAGGTGGCTTCACTCACCCTCGCGAGCACAACGACTTTGTGTATGCGCTTGTATCGATCCTAAATTCTGCGTATTTTACGCTGCGCGGCGCTCTCTTAGTAGGTGGCGTTGTAAGTAGCAGATGCGTCGCTCTGTTTATCTATTTTCCAATAGCAGTGGTGAGGAGACTACTCATGCAGCCACACTTTCGATGCTCGTCGTAAGAGACGCCAAGTGTGCGAAACTTTCGGTTTGGCTAGAGTGTCTCTTCGTGCGACACATTTTTCGCTTTGATTGGTGGGATTCGCATTTTTTGGTGTCCGCGAGATGTTCACTCGTTCGCGGAGGAAAGTAGTTCTCGCCAAAGGCACATAACCGAAATAGGTTTCGCAGAGCCTCATGTATAGCCTATTTCATATCCACATAACTTGAAAATTTACCATGCTGACCTCGGGCTTTAAAGCGTGCGCCATGTCAACTTCTGTACCTTGCCAACCTAACCCAGCCTAACTCTACTCATAAACTGCAAAATCATTGAACTACATGAGATCCTGGCTTCAAGCATACACCTTACGCCATACTGCTTATGAGAGAATCTTAACCTTGGCAAGCATTTGTCAGTCTAACCACATGGTAGTGAAAAAGGAATGTTATGCAGTCTTGTCCTTCTTTCCCAGGGCCTTCTTCCTCTGCCCCATCATGTATGTGTACATGTATGGGCTCCCTGCCATGCCAGACACACTGTATGTTAGCGACAAGTAATGGACGCAGCCTTTGGGTCCCCAAGCAGAAACTCAAGGGAATAACGATGGATTCCGACACAATTACGAGTGGGTTCGTTTCAACCGTCAGGAACAACTTGTGTGCCAAGTACAACGTACCGGGGATGTAGGTGAGGAGAATGAGGATGCAGACGAGGTAATAGTCAACGGCAAAGTTGGCCTTATTGGGCATGTCAAACGAGAACACGTGGATGCCTGGCAGGGTGGAAGGGGGGGGGGAACAGCTCAACACTGTGATGAGTGAAACAATATGTGGTACGGTAAGGTTTGAAGTGAAGAAAAAACTGTCTAAAAAAAGGGGCTAAAAACAGGCTAGTGGACCACATAGAACGAGCTGGTACTTTGTTTATTCCGACTGGAAGTTAGGGCTAAATACAGTTAAAACAGCCCAAGGAAAGAGTTGGCAATGAGGGAAAGAGTTGGCAATGAGGGAAAGAGTTGGCAATGAGGGAAAGAGTTGATAAGGCAAAGTGTCCCAACATGCCACGCCCCGGACACCATGCCAACATCTGAGGTGCGGATGCAAAAACAGATGCCGAATGGAGTGAGAGCAGGAGGGCTTGGGATTGCGTATGGTGAGGGGGGGAATATACCTTGGCGGACTGAGGGGAGATACCTTGTGATGCGAGTATAGACACAGCGAAAGTGAGTGAAGATACTTTGAGGGCATAAACACAGGGAGAGTGTGTGGAGATACCGCGAGGGACAGTGCAGGGACAGTGAGTAGGAGACACATGGAGCAGGGCGAGAAAGAGAGAGAGAGCGAGGCGAACCTTGAGGTAGGGCAGCGCGAGGAGGGCGAGCCCCACTTCACTGGTGATGCCCGACGGGTAGAGCACGTAGAACATGCTGTACCTGGTGTGCGCACGGCCATGGGCCATGAGAGACACGGTGGAGGAGGGAGAGGGGGGGAGGGGGGAAGGGGTGCACATCAGCATGGAGGAGAGTGAGGGCTGGTGCCTGAAGGGTACAGCACGTGGAACATGCTGTAGAGCACGTGGAACATGCTGTAGCTAAGGGTGAAAACGAGTTGGGAGGTACTCGATGACTACTCGAGATTTGAACCGGGCATTCGATATTTACCCTTGGCTGTACGGGGAAGGGAGATGGGGGGAGAGAAATGGGGTAGGGGGAAGGGAGATGGGGGGAGAGAAATGGGGTAGGGGGAAGGGAGATGGGGGGAGAGAAATGGGATAGGGGGAAGGGAGATGGGGGGAGAGAAATGGGGTAGGGGGAAGGGAGATGAGGGGAGAGAAATGGGGTCGGGGGAAGGGAGATGGGGGGAGAGAAATGGGGTAGGGGGAAGGGAGATGGGGGGAGAGAAATGGGGTAGGGGAAGGGAGATGGGGGGAGAGAAATAGGGTAGGGGGAAGGGAGATGGGGGGAGAGAAATGGGGTAGGGGGAAGGGAGATGGGGGGAGAGAAATGGGGTAGGGGGAGGGAGATGGGGGGAGAGAAATAGGGTAGGGGGAAGGGAGATGGGGGGAGAGACATAGGGTAGGGGGAAGGGAGATGGGGGGAGAGAAATAGGGTAGGGGGAAGGGAGATGGGGGGAGAGAAATAGGGTAGGGGGAAGGAGATGGGGGGGAAAGAGGAACGGCGTAGCGGGAGATGGGGGAAGAGGAACGGCGTAGCGGGGAGATGGGGGAAGATTCGAACCGGGCATTCGATTTTCACCCTTAGCTGTACCTGGTGTGCTCAGGGAGATGGGGGAAGAGGAATGGCGTAGCGGGAGAGGGGAAGAGGAATGGCGTAGGGGGAAGGGAGATAGCGGAGGGAGAAACGGGTGCACAGCAGCATGGGTTGAGTGAAGGTTGGTGGGTGCAGGGTGGCGCACAGGGGATGGGAGGGAGAGAAGCAACCATGGTGCAAGCAGGTCAGAAGGAGAAGGAAGGAATGGGTGGAGTGGTGAGGGGTTGGAAGAACGAGGAAGAGAGGACTGCAGACATGATCAAGTCAAGGTGGAGGGGTGGCTGGGGAATGCGAAAACGACATGGGGTGCAAGGGGCATGGAGTGCGAGGGTAGGGAGTGCGAGGGGTAGGGAGTGCGAGGGGTAGGGAAGGGAGTGAGAAGAGCATGGAGTGCGAGATAATGGGGGCGCATGGGGTGCTTCGTACCTGAGCCAGAGCAGAGGCGCGGGCGTGAAGCCAAAGGCCTCCTTGACGGCGAAAAAGGAGTAGCGCACGATCTGAGAGACTCAGACACAGGCACACACAGCAAGCACAGCACACACAGCAAGCACAGCACACACAGCAAGCACAGCACATACAGCAAGCACAGCACGCACGGCAAGCACAGCACACACGGCAAGCACAGCACACACGGCAAGCACAGCACACACGGCAAGCACAGGCGCGGGGAAGGGGAAGAAGGGCGGAAGAGTGGGAGACGTGAGGGGCGTGGGGAGGGAGAAGGAGGAGGGTAGAGCGGAGAAGGGGGAGCCCATAGCTGTGAGGCGATGCGATGCCAGTCAGGTGCTGGAGCGTATGAGGGTGGGGTGACATGCCCAGAGCACGTGGACAAGTTTGGGCGCAGCTGTTGGAGGTCTCGCGCCGTGCAGCAGGTATGGGAGGGGGATTGGGGGTTGTGGAGTGTGAAAGGGTGAGCCTACACTCTGGCACTCCTGCTGGCCCGTCTCGCAAATGGTAATAGCGTGCTGCCGTGTCGTGTATACCCTCCACCTACGGGCCTCCACCAAACTCGCCTCTCACCTCAGCTCACTCGCTCCTTGTCTCCTTCCTTGACTCTTTCCTGTCCTTCCCTCCCGCCCTCTCTCGCTTCATTCCTCACACGTTCACCGCACGCAACCCAAACGCACCCCCCACGCACCTCCCCCCACTCCCCCCACACAACCCCATGCAGCCCCAATGAACCCTGCGCGCACCCTGCGCGCACCCTGCGTGCACCCTGCGTGCACCCCCCGCGTACCCCCCGCGTACCCCCAGCGTGCCCCCAGCGTGCCCCCAGCGTGCCCCCAGCGCACCTCAGTGATGGACCAGCTGAGCAGCAGCGACGCCACCAGCACGTGCTCCCGCACCTGCACACGTGGCACGCAGTGGCGGTGATGGGGTGCACACGTGGCACGCAGTGGCGGTGATGGGGTGATGGTAGGGGCGGGGCACACGGAGATGGGGACACACACGAATGGGGAAAAGCGGTGATGGTGGGAAAAGGAAAAGCAGACGAGCGGCGGCACGGCAGCATAAGTGGAGGCCATGTCGTCGCAGCATAAGTGGAGGCCATGTCGTCACAGCATAAGTGGAGGCCATGTCGTCACAGGGAAAGTGGAGGCCATGTCGTCACAGCATAAGTGGAGGCCATGTCGTCACAGCATAAGTGGAGGCCATGTCGTCACAGGGAAAGTGGCACCTCCATGGAACGCAAGCGGGTGCTTTCTAATTGTGAGAACGAAATCATTGGGAGAACGAAATCATTGGGAGAACGAAATCATTGGGAGAACGGGCGGCGGTGCAGAGTCGCGCGCCTATACGACCCTACGGTTCTCTCATCCCATCCTCGCCTCTTTCTTTCTTTCCCTTCCGTATCTTGCACGGAATGCAGGCGAGCGGCAGCCTTGTTGTGAGAGCGACCCCCTGTGGCACATCGTTTCGCGCCAGCCAGCACCTTGGGCACTTGATTGAACAGCTGATGCGCGGTAAATAACACATGACATGAGACACATGACATGAGACACATGACATGAGACACATGACATGAGACACATGAAAGAGCACCTTCGGCGCGGGGTAGAGCACCTGCGACGCGGGGTAGAGCACGCCCCAGACGAGGAAGAGGCGCGACGCGATCTGCGGAAGCGTGGCGGACACGGGCGAGCGCACGATTCCTGCCGCCCGCAGCGCGCACGTGGGGGAAGGGATGGCCCGATGGGGGTGGAGAAGGGATGGGGGGGGGAGAAGGGGGTGAGAGAGGAAGGGAAGGG